CTAAACCGCCTAAACCCTAAACCCTTTAGGGATTTCTTCAGAAAGGTTTACCCTTTTTTTTGCTCGGGGAGCTTTGGGGGCACCAGGCGCCGAGCAGCTATAAGTTGGAATTTCAGATCATCGGCCATGAAAGCCTAGAGAAGCCCTCATACAAACCATAGACATCTCCGTGGAGCGTTTAGGGTTTAGGTTTCAGGGGTGTAGGGTTTACGGGTTTAGGGTTCGGGGGTTTAGGGTTTTAGGGGTTAGGTTCCGATTGGAGGCACTCCGAATAGTGCAGAAGCATCGGCTTCAAGCGACTGCTCTTGCGGATCCAGGGGATACCCTACACCCTATAAACCCTATAAGCCCTATAAACCCTAATTACACCCTAAACCTTAAACCCCTAAACCCTAAACCCCAAACCTTAAACCCTAAACCCTAAACCCTAAACCCTAAACCCCGATCCCAAAAACCCTAAACCCTAAACCCTAAACCCATCTGGAGCTTCAAGGCCCGCATGGCCTTCCTCTGCCTCCTCTTGGCGCAGTCTCGGGGTCCCTTCTAAGGGGACCCTATGATAGAACTGTTGGGTTTAGGGTTTAGGGTTTAGGGTTTAGGGTTTAGGGTGATAGTAGAGTACCCTTCAAAGGAACCCCACTAGAGAACCCTATAGTGCCCTTCAAAAGGGACCCTATGATAGAACTGTATAGTGTAGTACCCTCGACAGGAACCCCATTACAGAAGCCTATAGTGCCCCTTAAAATGATCCTTATGGCTCGTCTCACGGAGGAGGTGGTGGCCGAGGTAGCGCTGGCGTCGGCTCGCTTCCCCGTCGCCATGGCGCGAGTGCTGCGAGTGTTCTTCGGGACTGGCTTTCCGAAATGACCACTACGGAGTTCGCGAACGCCGACAGAAACTGGAAAAGAGGCTCGGTATTATAGGACCTTATTGCCTATAGTTTGGGGCTTTGGGGGTATATGATTATGTAGCTATATTGGGAAGAACAAGAGGACGTACTAAGGCCCAGATATCACTACCAATAATCAAGCCCTTTTCGAAATTCTACACTACGGAATCGAACTATTTCGTAGCCAAGCAGCTGAACCCCTAAAATATTTTCGAAGTTTGGTTAAGATCCGAAACCCTGACTGCTAAATCCTGAACCCTATAGAACCCTTATAATGAAACCCCGCATGGAACCCTTCTAGAACCCTTGTAGGGCTCTTGCAGAGCTCTTATAGAACTCTGATGCAAACCCAAACGCAAGGTGCGCTGTGGACCTTCACTGAGAAGTGGGCTCAAAGCGCTTTCTCGCGCATTGTGGCGGTGGAAGATGAAGGGAACGATGGTCTCACCCTTGTCACCTCTCATGGGTCATTATAGGATTCCTATAATATAGCACCCTTTTAAAAGGGACCCTGTTACACAAAATCACCGGTACCCTTGTCACCTCTCATGGGGCAATATAGGGGTCCTGCGGTGTAACATGAGATCCGTACACCAGTTCCCGACCGGGCTCTGTGAACATGTTTCGTTTGAAGGGTTCTATAAATAAAGGGCTCTAGAAGGTGTAGACATGTAAAGGTGTAGAGACCTAGCCTTGCACTTGCACAGGTATTGGGGAATCTACTGTATCTAGAAAAGCTGATCCCACCGAATAACGTGTCGCTAGCTAACGACCCCTCCTGCACCCTAAACCCTAAACCCTAAACTCCTGCACGGGCACATCTCTGCAGGACCTCCGTTGGCGCGGCAGTGTCTCTCGAGACGCTTTCAAGCTGCAAGGCTTGACCCTCCCAAAGAACCCAATACATCTTAATTAAGGACCCCATGGGTCCTAGGTACTGTCATGGGTGATACTTCCCCAAATCATAATGGTAATTCTTAATATAGAAACCCTACATTCTACCATAAAGGTACTTTGGACCCTTTTGGGGGAATATACCTTAAATTATAGGGGCCTTAACATTATGATTTACGGTACATTCCTTCAAAAAGGGGTCTTGGGCTCTCTGGGCTGTACTGCCTGCCGAGGCCGGCCAGTCTCGATGCCTCTTCGAGCAACAACCCTAAACCCTAAACCCTAAACCCTAAACCCTAAACCCTAAATCCTAAACCCTAAACCCTAAACCCTAAACCCAAACCCCTAAACAGTAAGAAAACTGTAGCCTCCAAGAGAGAGCCCCAAGACCCCTTAATTAAAGAATATACCGTACATCATAAAATTAAGGAGTAGATCTTGAATCATAATATTAAGGAATATATCTTAAATCATAATATTAAGGTGCCTATAATGTATCTTCCTTAATTCAGGTGTATTGGGCGCTTCGGGCTCAAATGGCTCTGTCGATGATGCTCCCGCCGACTGGCACAATGTGGATGCGATCCCCAAGCTTCAGCTCAACCCTAAAGCCCCAAAATCCTGAAACCAAAACCCTATAAATCCTGAAGCCTAAACCCTAAACCCTAAAACCCTAAGCCCTAAACCCTGAGGCCTTAAACCGTAACGACTGCGACTGGGGCTCTGTAGGATCCCCACAGAGGAACTCCGCCGAGGGCTGCAGCGGCAGCACACGCGACAACGGCGCAGTGCTGGTTTAGGGTTTAGGGTTAAAAGGTTTAGGGTTTTGTTAAGGGTTTAGGGTTTAGGGTTTAGGGTTCTAGGGTTAAGGGTTTTAAGGTTTAGGGCTTATGGTTTAGGGTTTAGGAAACCGGTCCGTAGACGACCTTGCAAACATCTACGACATCTACGACCCAAGGTGCAGTACCCAAACTAAGGCTCCATGTATACCCATGTAGTATATACTTCAGCCTAGAAGGGTTCTTACAGATGTACTTTCAGGCTGAAGTATGTACTATATAGGCCCCTAAACCCTAAACCCTAAACCCTAAACCCTAAACCCTAAACCCTAAACCTTAGCAGTACTGCAGCCATTCAGGCTTGGGTGTGACAGGTAGGTGCACATCACTCCAAGAGGGGGCCAAGAACTCGAATTTCAACGGAGAACTTTAGGCTTATAGGGCCTCAGGAGGTTCTATATACCCACAGAGTCTATAATGTAGGAGCCTTCATAATTACCTGTACTATTTTGGGGGGGGCTCCTTGTTGTAGTTATAGTATCATGGGCCCCAAAACCCTATTCTAATTACTGAGGCCCCTATATTATCCACAGAAGGTTTGATTTCCCTTCTTTGCGAATGCCCCGCGACTCCTGCCTTCTTCCGGTGGCGCATTGGACTTGAACCCAAGGAACATGACCTGCTTAGGCTTTAGTAAAGCGCCGGACTGCAGCCCCAAAGCACCTAAAGCGCTGAACCCTTAGGGTTTAGGGTTTTCGGGTTTAGGGCTTCACGGCTTTCGGGTGTAGTTAGGGATTTAACCCTAAACCCTAAACCCTAAACCCTAAAGGCCTCATTGCCACGGCCTTGGGGGGAGGGTTTACAGGGGAGGCGTCCTTCCGGGGAGTGGCGTCACGGGGACACACTAAAATCCCTAAACCAACACCCTGAGCTCTAAACCCTGCGTTCTAAACCCTAACCTAAACTGAACGAACCCGGAACCCTGAACTCGAAACCCTAAACCCTAAACCCTAAACCGCAAGACCTAACCTCATAGCCATGAGATTGCAAAAGCACCAAAATCCTTCATTGACTCCGGTATGCTCTGCCGGTAAAAAACGCAGCCGCAATTTCATGGATGTAGGGTTGTGGGTTATGAGGCTTAGGGTTTTGGGGCTTAGGGCATAGGGTTTATCGCCCACTTCTTCTGGCAAGGGAGGACCATAAAACCTCAACCCTAAAACCAAAGGGCTTACTTTTGCAGGTCCTTTGGTCCAGAAATAATCGGGGGTTAAGGGTTTAGAGTTTAGAGGTTCATCCCGCTCCACGCAAAGGCCACGGCAATTCGACCACCAGCTTGTCTACGCAAGACCATGGGATCGCACCCTAAACAGGCTGGTTTTGGGGCTACAAGTAAAAAAAATGCTTCGTTTCTGCGTCGTGCACACCAAACATGGCCAAGGGTTTGGTCGCAATGAGGGCCGTTGGAGCTCCGATTTTGTGCGGAGCTTCGCACCGCTCGTTTGCAATGGCCTGTGACCGTTCAAGTTGGTAGCAGAGCGCATGCGTGAGGCTCCCACGGCTGCACGAAGCACCGCGAAGATCAAGACACTCACCAGCCAACCCTTCATCACGGTTACGACAGGGTCGTCTTCGCCTTTGCAGCTCCAGTCGTCGAACAAGTAAAGTCTCCATCCTGGAAAAACCAACGCAAGCAAACCATGCACTGTTATGCTAAAGTGCTGCTGTGGTGCTGCGCCTGGACTGTGCGATGCTGTGCAGTGCCCTAAGGTCTGTGCTGTGGTGCTGATGTGCCTCACACTGCCACCCGTCTTAAACCACAAACCCTAGGCCCTAAACCCACAAACACCAAACCCTAAAGCCTATCCCTCCTCCCTTTGAGCCCAGACTGTGATCCTGAACCATCGGCACTGCACAATTTGCATCCCAGGAATGCGGGTGTTCTATGGCGGGCTTTGTAAGGGTTCTACAGGGGTCCTTCCTGGGAGTGTGTTTTGGGTTCTGCTTTGTGGGGTTCTTCAAAGGCTGCATAGCCCAAAGGGCCCTAGGCAACTACCTATGTAGTAGCATGTAGGGTCTCTATATGAGGAATCTTTGTTATGATTTGTGGCAAGCATCACCCCGTTATTTAGGTTTGCCATATCAGTACCGACACCAGCCGCGGAGATTTCCGAATCCTAAACCCAGCACGGCCCAAAATCTTCCGGAGGTGGTGTTTAGGGCTTACAGCGTTTAGGGTTTCGGGTTTAGGGTTTAAGGGCTTAGGGCTTTAGGGCTTTAGGGTTTAGGGCTTTAGGGTTTTAGGGTCTAGGGCGCCATTCAGGCTTTCAGAGTAATGTAGGGGCCTTAATAATTACAATAGGATTCTGGGGGTTCCTTATTATACTTATGGTATAATGGGGCCCCAAACCCCTAAACCCTAAAGCCCAAAGCCCCTAAACCCTAAACCCGAAACCCTAAACCCTATAAGCCCTTACTGGCATCAGTTTGGATCTGTCGGCTCTGTGCCGAAATCTAGGCCTGCTTCAGCTGCTCGCTTGAGTTCGGCATCGGACGGAGCCATGCAAGTGGACCCTGTTTCAGAAAACCCCAGGGTTTAGGGTTTAGGGTTTAAGGAAAACCTTACACTCTGAACCCTGTGTCGCTCTGACTCTCTTTGTACCCAACGCTCCCTTCTATCACCCGAATCACCTCCGAGACCACCCTGAGTCTCCAGATTCCCTGTTTTTAGGTTGCTGGTAATTCACAGTGATTTCGATGCTTTAGGTTATATAATTCACGAAAAACACAACGTAAAAAACAACCTAAATTAATTTAGGTTACAACCTAAAT